GCCAAGTCCTCGCCCTGATAAACCCCTTTAATTTACAATGAATTCCTCTCCAGCAAACTCTTTCCTCTCCCACAGTCTTTCAAGATAGTTCACAATTACTGACCTTTATCAGGTGTAGAGAGTGGCCGGGCCGATATCTTTCAGGCACCGCAATACTTGGCAAGAATGCAGGAATGAACTAATTGTCTCCTGCAAACCCCCCCCTCTTTCGCTCCTCTTTTATTCCCTATGGGAGGGGCCATTCGCCGTCCACCTGTGGCCTTACTCCCAAGTTGACCCTTGTTCTTTAACTGTTCCCTTTGTCTGACAACTCTGCGCATGTGCACACTGGGAACAGGCTCCAGCTGTTCGTCTACCTCACTGATGTCTGCCTCCGAAGGCAGCTGATAACTGTCAGACGGCCCTGACCCCATATCTTCCTCAGACGCCGAACACTTGTCAGAGTCTTCCCCAGACTCCCAACCTCCTCAATGTCCAAATCTGCTACCAACTCTGCTGGCAGGCCACAACACTACTTTTTAGAACATTCAGACCAACCATCTTTCTCTCTTGGTTTCATTTGTGCCACAAGGCAAGAATGATACATACCCTGCATTTCTAATCAATGGAGAGCCAAGGCTTGTGCTTGAGCTCATCCACCACAAATCAGTCTGGAGGATAACAAGTACAGAATGGGATTTCTAATGGAGTTTGTGGTTTCATGGAAGCAACAGTCAAGGCAATGAAATGGGCCACTCACCTGAGAGACTCTTGCATTTTTAATGCTGATGGGTGTGTGCTGGATTCCCTTCAGGCCAAATAATTCAACCACATCCATTGGCTCCTGGAAAAGAAGGAAATGTGTGTGGTAAATAAGGTTTTCTGAACTGTGCTCATTCATTTTCATCTTCCAGGTTGGATACAAACCTTCTATTTTAGAGATTTCCGGGATTGAACGGGATTTTTTTCTAGAATAGGGATAAACAACCTGTGGCCTCTAGCTTTTTCATTATAGTCCTCAATGTGTTGTGAAACTATTAAGGATTATTAATAATTTATCATTATTTTGAGGCAGGCAATTCATGAAGTGAAAACTGTACACAGTTCTTAATTTTGTATTAGTGTTCTTCCCACTGTGATCCTCAGGCTTTCAAACTGTGTTGTGTTCTGTTCCTGACCTACAGTTGCCACATATCTTAGAACTTCACACCCATCAGATCCTCAACCCAAGATGTATAACTTCATGTACCTAATGAAAATTACTGTCTACTTTTACAAAAATAAGAATTACCATCCAAATGCCTATACATAAAGTTCCTTATCTTAAATTGGCACATTTGTTACTTAACATGTTATTATAGTTATAATATGTTTTTATGATATGCTTCTTCAATGCCAAACACTGAAGGCTCTTTATTTGCACATGGAATACAAGTTGTACATATTGTTCAGAGAAAAACAGAAGTAGATCAGAATATAAATTCCATTTGCATTTTATTAAGTGGTTACATCACAGTTTCAAAGAGAGTAGTCTATGTTATAGGGATAGCCAATGGCAGATATTGAGCTGAACAAAGCCCCTGAAGTAGTCTTTGAAAAAAGGGTATCTCATAGCGTTTTTCTTTTGCTATAAATACAATTTTTAACCAACTATCTCAGTAGTTAGATGGTGTCAACTTTATTATACATCTGATCAATTGCTGAGGGATCTAGTTAAGATTGATTTCTGAAGTCTAAAAGGATCCCAAGGCTTCGTATCTAGAAGTTTTTCATCTATAAAAAAAATTATCCATGTATTTTCTCATACGTGCATAAGCATAAAACCGAATCATTCAGTGCCTTAAAAGACTTGCTTTCATGCTGTCCTTCTGTAGCCAGTTGACACAGTTGCTATGGCAACAAAACAACTCTATAAAGGTGTATCTACCATGTGAATAGATATATTCCTTTTCAGGAAGGAAAACAGCTCTGCTGTAGAGACCAAAAAACCTAAGTCTGAATTGAACCATTCTAGTTAGTAAATTCCACTACTGCCCCCAGAACAAATTTCGTGACAGAACACAAAGAAGTACTATTAGTAATATAAGGCACAGAAAAAACAAAATCTCCTCAGTGTTTTTAGCCAAAATATATTTGCAATGCTCAGAAAAAGATAGCTCTCCTAAAATTCCCATCTTGCACAGCGCTAACAATATGAAAGGTGATTAGAATGTATATCCCGGTCACCTACAGGCTCTGCATTCATCTTTCAGCCTTTTCAAAAGTTCTCCATGATGTGTATTCTTTCATAAAGGGAATATAGTAGGGGAGCAATTTTAATTTCAATTAAATTTTAAAATTAAGATTTGTCCTGGCCTCACTAACTCTTCGGTGTAAGAACATCACCCAAATGCCACCCCAAGTGCTGCAACTGGACCCCTTCCCCCAAAGTTACACACCTGCAAAGTAGAAGTCGATCCATTCTTCCTGATGACTTACCTCATAATATCCATCAATAAAAACTGTTATCATTTGAGGATTGACCCCTTGTGCTGACAGAAGGGACCGCAGCATCCTAAAGAGAAAAGGGTTCATGTATTTGCAGTGATTCCCAGAAAGCTTTTTAATGTATTCTTAGAATGCATAGTATATCTAATACTAGATTAATACTTTAATATTACTGATATAAACTTGACTAACCTTTGTTCATGTTAATCTCAAATTATGTATTGTATGCCACTCAGAGCTGACTATTTAGAATATAAATTATTTGCAAATAAACAAACAAGATGAGACTGGAGGATCTGATTTAGACTTTTGTTCTATTATAGGTGAAATATTCCAGCTGACTCTGGATGTGTCAACGGTGTGCTTTCCTTTTCCCTTCCTTGCAGGATAAAAGACTTTGTTTAGAGCATGGGTTTCAAACATGCAGCATCATGTTGCTGTCACATGATGTATCGTGATATTTTCCCCTTTGCGGAGCTGAGGTGGGCGTGGCCTGTGCGTGACGCATCCAGCCTGCAGCCCGCCAGTTTGACACCCCTGGTTTAGAGGGACAAAATCAAGAAAACTTGACCACATCATTTGGGAACTGGTGATTATGTTCCAATAGAAACTAGGCAGGCAAGAAATACAAATTCTCCACTTGATGTTACATACTCCCTACTATTGTCCCTACTAACTGTCTCTCACCTGTACAGGTAGTTAGGTCTGTTCCCTGCAATGACAGCAACAGGTACATCAAAAACTTTGTTGTCTTTCAGCTAAAAAAAGGAACATCAGAAACAGAAATTTAAGATTGACTGTCAACACCTCTTTCCCCACATTGCAGCTTTGTTTGTTCTTACACTTGAACATTTAAGGCAGTGTTTCTCAACATTGGCAACCTGAGGATATGTGGTCTTCCAACTTCCAGAATGGATGGCTGGGGAAATCAGGGAATTGAAATCCATGTATCTTCAAGCTACCAAGATTGAGAAACACTGATTGAAGTGGAAAACTGGGAACAGTTAAGTTCTGTATAAGCAATTTTTCCTTGCCTGTAGTCTCAAAACTTAGATTATGAACTCAAACCAATATCGTCTGACCACTACCAGAATTAGAATTATGTAAGTAGATTTTAAAGTGAACTATTTATTTGTTTCAGAATTCAGAAAAGATTCCCAGTAGTATTTATATTTCTCTCATGTATCTCAAATTCAGAGAAGTAGGCAGTTGGCAAAGAAAGGAGGAGATTGGAAATAAAGTAAAAGTCAGAAAAGTTTTAAAAAACAAGGTAAGGCATGAAGGACAAATACAACAATCAGATGAACATAAAAGATAATTTTTTAAAAATCTGACTCCCAACTACAGTCTGGTAAACTTTATTGCCAGATAGAACATTCTATCATCTATCTATCTATCTATCTATCTATCTATCTATCTATCTATCTATCTATCTATCTATCTATCTATCTATCTATCTATCTATCTATNTCCACTGGTGGAACCTCTTCTAACCGGTTCGGTAGATTTGATGAACCGGTTCTACCGAATAGGTGCGAACTGGTAGGAACCCACCTCTGGACTGTTGGGATGCTGCAAGGGTTGTAAGGATCAGGACTGATCCTAAGTCACTTTTTTGGTGCCATTGTAATTTTGAAATGGTTGCTAAGCAAATGTTTGTAAGTTGAGGATCACCTGTACTATACTAAGTAGGAAGTCAATCTACCCTGGGTTAGATGTCCGATATTTGTGTCACATCATACAAAGTACTTTTTATCCCTCTTCAGTAGAAACTTTACTAGTTTTAGTCTTCTTCCTCAATTCTTTACCTCAGCCAGGTTCCTGATTTCCTAGCTTTAAAGCTGTTCAAGGATAGTCTCTACTACTCCTTTCTTGGGAATGAATATCATACCTTCCACAGAGGTTAACTGGACTTCCGTTTTCAACAAGACTGGCTCTCCCCATGAGGAGAGCAATGCAGACTTGGCATGCTTCTCGCCATAGACCTCACCTACAGAGAACACAACACATTATGGTCAATAGGCAGCCAATAACCATTCACTACTTTGGCTGGTCCACTATTCGATCCCTGATGTAGCAGTTAGTCAGTAATCTTACTTTTTCGCTAGGCTCCTTGGGATATTTCTTATAGTGCAAAAGAAAGATTAACAAAATATCCCTCTATGGTACTCAAGAGTAGGAGGAGATAAAGACACCCTCAACTGTTGTAGAAGAGGGAAAAATGATTTAGATATGAAACATTGCAGCTGCCTATGCTCACTCCCCCATATTATTAACAGAAAAGGTTCCCAGCTTCTCATGCTCCAATTTAATGGGGCTGAGAATTTCCAATATTATGAATATACAAAAAACAAGAAGCTAGAGCAGAGCCAAATATTTGGCTTGATTAATATTATACTTCTCCTTGAAAAAGTTACAACCCACCAGGAGCCCTTCTCCTGCGTCCCTTCCTCCCCTGGAGATTTCTGCCCCTTCTCGATTCTGACCTCCTTTTTTCCCCACAAATGTCCACATGTCTCGCCAGCTGAGGGAAGCTGCAATCTGGCTCCCTAAACTCTTCAGAAGACTCTTGGCTGTGTCTTTAAGGTGGAAGGAACCCTCATCCTGAAAATGAAGAAATTCCACAATATTAATACAGATACATGGCTTATATATCCTTTAAGCATAAAGAATCGTTCGATGCTGCCTCAGTTCTTTTAAGCTAAAGCTCCATTTTTAAAAAAAACTTGTAATAAGATGTCAAAGTAAGACTTGTTTTTTTAGTGTGTCATATCAGGGGATGCAGTGGCTCAGTGGCTAAGACGCTGAACTTGTCGACCAGAAAGTCCAGCAGTTTGAATCCCTAGTACCGCGTAACGGAGTGAGCTCCCATTACTTATCCCAGCTTCTGCTAACCTAGCAGATCGAAAGCATGTAAAAATGTAAGGAGAAAAATAGGAACCACTTTGGTGGGAAGCCACCATAGGCACTGCCATTTTATTTTTCAGTTATACGCAGGTGCAGAACAATTTTAATTGCACAGCACATGCACGCACACGAATGAACCAGGGGAACCCACCCCTGGTGGGAAGGTAACACGGTTCCGTGCACCTTCAGCATTTAGTCATGCCAGCCACATGACCACGAAGACGTCTTTGGAAAGCGTTGGCTCTTCAGCTTTGAAACAGAGATGACCACTGCCCACTAGAGTCAGGAACAACTAGCACATATGTGTGAGGGGAACCTTTACCTAGTGTGTCANTATCTATCTATCTATCTATCTATCTATCTATCTATCTATCCATCCATCCATCCATCCATCCATCCATCCATCCATCCATCCATCCATCCATCTCAGATTAATCATTTGATAGGCCAGTTAAATCTATGTAATTAGATGGAAGTTTAGTTTCTAGAAAGAGTTGTTGAAGAAGGGCCATTATTGTACTTACTGGATCAGGATTGAACTCTATAGGTGTAGGATCTTTACAGCTGCAGACACTTCCATAACCTTCCACTTTGCTGCAAAAACGCTTTCGCCGCCGATTCAACTCAGTATCTGGCCAATGGCATTCTGCCTCTGTGGAATACATCATATGTACGTATAAGATTAGCTTGAGATATAGGAGGGTTTTGAAATACACAGCCTTTTATCAGTTTATGTTCTGTTATAGGCAGTTCAGAACTTTCTTAGGATGTATCAATCTATGATACCCATAAGCAACAAACCATCACTAATGATCAAAAATCCGAGACTGAAAATTCAAAACATCTGTATGACAAATAATGGCTGGCTGCCAAACAGAAAATGATTTTTTTTTTAAAAAAACACCCTCTCTTTTTTTTATAGAATAAAAAAAATAAGATCTTGTCTTCACGGCAGCTTTTAATTTCATTGGATTTGCTTCAGGAGAAACCAAAGAGAACAGCACTTTAAATCAGTGTATTAGAGCTGCCAATTTCTCAACCTATCCCTAGTCTAGCCAATCATTTTGGGTTTGGGTAGAAAATCAGGATGAGAAAAGCTAAAACAACATACAGACAGTCCTTGACTTACAACCATATTTGGGGTCAGAACAACTGTCACTGAGTCAGATGATTGTTAAATGAATCATGCCTGAATTTTATTTTATTTTTGCTGCAGTTGTTAAGCAAATCCATCCCCCCCGCCTCCCCATGGACTTTGCTTGCCATAAGCTGGCTGAGAAGGTTGCATTTAGTGATCACATGACGCTGGAAAGCTGCAACCATCAAAAATAGGTATCTGAGGCCAAGCACCCAACTTTTGATCATGTGACTGTGGCAGTGATAGGTTTCAAAAATTGTTCGAACCTACTCTGTGGGGGTGGCCTCCTTTGTGGGAGTGGCTTGCCACCCATGTGACCGGATATGAAGATGCCGACGACACTTGCAGAACCACCTTAAATTACCTTGCACACAGCACTGGCATGCATAAGAATATGATGTAGATTTGTTTTTTAAAAGGCATCTTTGGTTTGC